TCCCAGGCACACATTACTGAACAGAGTACAGATTTAACAGAGTAGAAGAGCTATCATTATTTCACCGATAATACAAAACAAACAACATAAACAAAAAAACTCCAAGTTTTAGAAGAAACAGTATAATCTTTTGGATACCACAGGATGAGTAGCACTTTTCTGAGAGAATACTATTAAAGAGGAAGTAAATGATCATCTTATAAGTATGAAAAGAAAGTAGAAATTATGCAAAAGGCAATCAGATTTACCCTTCCTACTTGAATTTCTTTCAGTTTATAGCTATTGTTTTCATAGTTCTCAGTAGGGAAGGGAAGATCCCTTAGGAAGATTTCCTAGAGAAGGAAATGGCAACCCACTCCACTATTCTTGCCTGGAAAATTCCATGGATGAAGGAGTCTGATGGGCTACAGTCCATGGGGTCAAAGAGTCAGACACAACTGAAGTGACTTAGCACGCACAGTACACCCTTGCTATTTCAATTTCTACAACATTCTATGTCTCACTGTACTTAGGGGTAAGAGACGCTGTTTATGATCAGCTTGACAGTTTCGGGACAGTGAAGATATCAAAAGTTGGGAATATTTTATGCTTGAAGAAGGATTAACAACACTGCATTTGTTAAATTAAAACAAAACAAATGTTTTTAATCTGAGAGATAAGCTATTATTTCTCCACAGACCTTCAGGAAGAGGATCAGATGGGCTCCCAGGACAGATGTGATCAAGAGGTAATTTTGAGGAATTTCAAGTTCTTTGGTGACTTTCCAAATATTTTCTAGGTTACTACTTGAGGAGATATTTATATACAGACTAATAGAGAAAATGAGAGGAACAAGCCAAAGAATGAGGGGAAATAAAAGAATGACAGCTGCATGGAGAAGCACACTCCTCTTTACTCCTCTGAAAGGCTGAGAAGAGCAATGGCATAATGCTCTGTGTGACTGAAACTGCACTAAAAAAAATACTCAAGGTGAGAACTTTAACAAGTAATATCACCAGACTGATCCAATGTATAAAATCTGAGAGCTCAATAAGGAGGTCTTCAATGTTCCTTTCAGCCTTAATCTCTGTAATTCCTTTTCTTTTGTAGGCTACAGGGAATTTAAAATAAAATGAACATATTTCATGAAGCTGCTGAGTCAAATAAGCCATTTTGGAAAAAATCTTCTTGATGCTCTATACCTTCTGAAGAAATGAAGAGTACCTTCACTTTGCTTTAGGGTGATTTTACAGGCAGATATGCAGCCATGAAATTAAAAGACACTTACTCCTTGGAAGGAAAGTTATGACCAACCTAGACAGCATATTAAAAAGCAGAGGCATTACTTTATTAACAAAGGTCCGTCTAGTCAAGGCTATGGTTTTTCCAGTGGTCATGTGTGGATGTGAGAGTTGGACTATAAAGAAAGCTGAGCACTGAAGAATTGATGCTTTTGAACTGTGGTGTTGGAGAAGACTCTTGAGAGTCCCTTGCATGGCAAGGAGGTCCAACCAGTCCATCCTAAAGGAGATCAGTCCTGAGTGTTCATTTGAAGGACTGATGTTGAAGCTGATAAACTCCAATACTTTGGCCACCTGATGAGGAGAGCTGACTCATCTGAAAAGACCCTGATGCTGGGAGGGATTAGGGGCAGGAGGAGAAGGGGATGACAGAGGATGAGATGGTTGGATGGCATCACCAACTCGATGGACATGAGTTTGGGTAAACTTTGGGAGTTGGTGATGGACAGGGAGGCCTGGTGTGCTGTGGTCATGGGGTCGCAAAGAGTCGGACACGACTGAGAGATTGAACTGAACTGAACTGATGCAGATATGACCAAACATCACACCACCATGTGGTGTGCCTTCTAGCCTCCTTTCCAACAATGCTGAACTTCAGAAATAGCTAAAAAAGGAAAGCATTTTCCTTGTGTTCAAGGTAGTAAAACTGAAACTCAGAATGTCAGGATTTTTTTTTGAGATTTGGCATTCATTTGAAATGTAGCCTAAAATAAATTAGTCATTGGTTTATGTCAGTGATTTATTCACATGCAAACTTTGAAGTTAGTCCTTATCTGCTTCTGTCTTTGGCAGACATGTGAACGAGATTGGAAAGACACTGTGAAAGGCCTTGAGCTGCAGCAAGGCAGAAGTACACAAACATAAGGCTGTTTGTAATCGTCATTATGCTGCTGTTTATTTTTGCTGAGTGACCTCATTTGACTCATAAACTCAACATTCCAGCAGTAAAAGCAAATGTACTTTTTCCTCAGAAATTCACTTCATGTGTTTTTAGGGAAGGCAAGATTACCCACTGGACAAAATTTCAGAAGGTACAATTTCACATGAGTTCTCATGGTTTTTAGCTAAAGAAGCTATTTAAAGTTTTGCTTTCTAATTTTTTTTTTATTTCTGACATTCAAATCTTATTTCAATTAAATCTTAAAACAGTATCAAACATACTTTTATCTGTAGGTTTCAGACTTGAAAGATAAAAAGGAGAAAGAAAAATAATGATCAGTAGAAAATTGTATATTATCAAGATTAATATATAAAAATTGGCTGCATTTATTTACACTAACAATCAAATATCAGAGAGAGAATGAAAAAAAAATCTAAATTGCATCATAAAATACTTACGAATAAACTTGACCAAGGAAGTGAAAGACTTATATACTGAGAACTATGAATCATTAATAAAGAAAACTGAAAATTATTCAAAGAAATGGAATAACCCATGCTCTTAAACTGGGAATAATATTGTTAAAAGGGCCACACTACCTAAAACAATCTACAGATTTACTGAGATTCCCTCAGTCAAATTACCTGTTTCACAGAACTAGAACAAATCATCCCCAAATTTACCATAAAAGAACCAGAATTGCCAAAGCAATCCTGAGGAAAAGGAAGAAAACTGATAGCATAATCTACCTAGACTTCAGAAAATACTGCAAAGCGACAGTAATCAAAACAGCATGGTATTGGCCCCAAAACAGATAGATGGATCAATGGAACAGAATACAGAGTCTAGAAATAAGCCCACACACCTAGAGTCAATTACTCTTTGACAAAAGAGGAAAGAATATATAATGGAAAAAAAAGACAGTCTCTTCAGCAAATGATGTTGGGAGAGTTAGACAGCAGTATGTTAATCAAAAAAGTTAGAACATACTCTCACACCATACTCAAAAATAAATTCAAAACAGCTTAAAGACTTAAGCAGAAAATTATACTGTAAAACTCCTAGAAGAGGATACAGGCAAAATATTATGACATAAATTATACCAGTGTTTCCTTAGGTCAATCTCCCAAGGCAATAGAAATAAAAGAAAAATAAGTAAATCAACAAATAGGGCCTTACTAAACAAAAGCTTTTGCAAAGCAAAAGAAATCATAAACAAAATGAAAAAGAAAACCCACAGAATGGGAGAAAATATTTGCCAATGATGTGACCAACCAGCGATTAATCTCCAAAATATACTAACAGCTCATGCAGCTCAACAGCAACAATAAAAAAAACAACCCAGTTGAAAAATGGGTAGAAGAGGTAAGTAGATATTTCTTCAAAGAAGACATACAGATGGCTAACAGGCACATGAAAAGATGGTCAACATTGCTAATTATTAGATAAATGAAAAACAAAAATACTATGAGGTATCACATCATACCAGTCAGAATGGCCACCATCCAAAAAAAAAAAAAATCTGTGAACAATAAATGCTGGAGAGGGTGTAGAGAAAACAGAACCCTCTTACACTGTTGGTGGGAATGTAAACTGATGTAGCCACTACAGAAAACAGTATGGAGGTTTCTCAAAATACTAGAAATACCTTTAGACCATGAAATTTTTGCACCTTGTTTTATGTCCCTGGATATGTTCCAGTGTCTCCAAGTTTGTAATCCATGGAATGCTGAATAGAATTTGTACCCTACTGTTGTGTGAAAATTATATAAATCTTAATTATGTTGAATTGGGTAACAGTGTTTTTCAGGTCTACTATATTCTTCTACTTCTCTGTATATTCATTCTTTGTGTGAGTTTGATATTGAAACTCCAACTAAAAAATCTTATTTTATTTACTTAAAAAATTGTAATATATAATGGAACTATATGTAACCTGATTCTGTTTTCCAAGTCTCCTATAAATGTGTTATCACACTTTTATAATTTAAAAACAATTATTTTTTGCCCACTCCTGGACAAAACTCTAATTCCAAAAGATCCATGCCCTCCTACGGTCACAACAGCACTATTCACAATAACCAAGACACAGACAAAACTTAAATGAACTTTGACAGATGAATGGATAAAGATGATGTGGTACATATACACAGTGGAATACAACTCAGTCATAAAAATGAACAATGTTTCTTCATTTGAAGAAACATGGATGGACCTAGATATTATCGTACAGAGTGAAATAAGTCAGAGAGACACATACAATATAACACTTACATGTAGAATCTAAAATATGACACAAATGAACTTATCTATGAACAGACTCACAGAAACAGAGAATAGACTTGTGGTTATGAGGGGCTGGGGGTAGGGGAGGGGTATATTGGGAGTTTAGGATTAGAAGATGCAAAGTACTATATACAGAATGGATCAACGATGATGTCCTACTATATAGCACAAGGAACTCTATTGAATATTCTGTGATAAACCATAATGGAAAATAATACAAGCTCTACCAGTATCTTCCAACAGGCAGGATGTCTCACAGGGAGTTCTCTGCTCCCAGGCACAGGTCCCTGAGCTTCCTGCCTCAGAAGCACATCAGCCGGCATCATAGGAAGGTGAGGAGCTTCCCCAAGAATGACTCTTCCAAGCCCCTGCTCCTCACCACCTTCCTCGGCTACAGGCTGGCATGACCCACACTGAGAAGGAAGTTGATAGGCCAGGGTCCAAAGGGAACAAGAAGGAAATTGTGGAGGCTGTGACCATCATGGAAACTCTACCATGTTGACTGGGGCATCATGGTCTATGTGGAAACACTCTGAGGCCTCTGGACCCTTAAGACCATCTTTGCTGAGCATATCAGCAAAAGGAGCTTCTATAAGAATTGGCATGAATCTAAGAAGAAGGCCTTCACTAAATACTGCAAGAAGTGGCAGGACATAGATGGCAATAAGCAACTTGGGAGGGACTTCAGTAGCATGAAGAAGTATTGCCAGGTCATCCATGTTATCAACCTCACCCAGATGCTCCTGCTTCCTCTGTGCCAGAAGGAGGCCCACCTCATGGAGATTCAGGCGAATGAAGGCACTGTGGCTGAAAAACTGGACTGGGCCCATGAGAGGCTAGAGCAGCAGGTCCCTGTGAACCAAGTGTTTGGCCAGGATGAGATGATTGAGGTCATTGGGGTGACCAAGGGAAAAGACTACAAAGGGGTCACCAGCCATCAGCACACTAAGAAGTTGCCGCATAAGGTCCACTGAGGGTTGGGCAAGGTTGCCTGTACTGGGGCATGGCGTCCTGCCCGGGTGACCTTCTCTGTGGCTTGGGCTGGGCAGGAAGGATACCATCACCACACTGAGATCAACAAGAAGATCTACAAGATTGGCCAGGGCTACCTCATCAAGGATAGCAAAGTGATCAAGAAAAATGCCTCTACTGATTATGATCTGTCTGACAAGGGCATCAACCCTCTAAGTGGCTTCATCCACCACGGTGAAGTGACCGATGACTTTGTCATGCTCAAAGGCTGTGTGGTGGGAACCAAGTAGCAAGTGCTCATTCTGAGCAAGTCCTGGAGATCAAACTCAAGTTTATTGACACCACTTCCAAATTTGGCCGTGGTGGCTTCCAGACTGTGGAGGAAAAGGAAGCCTTCACGGGACCACTTGAGAAGGACTGAATTGCAAAGGAAGAAGGGGCCTAATGAAACAGATTGTACAGCCGGTAGAATCTCAATAAAATAATTTTCCAGTGGGGGGAAGGAAGAAAATAATATGAAAAAGTATATATGTCAGTCAATCAGTTCAGTCACTCAGTCGTGTCCAACTCTTCGCGACCCCATGAATCGCAGCATGCCAGGCCTCCCTGTCCATCATCAACTCCCAGAGTTCACCCAAACCCATGTCCATTGAGTCAGTGATGCCATTCAACCATCTCTTCCTCTGTTGTCCCCTTCTCCTGCTGTCCCCAATCCCTCCCAGCATCAGGATCTTTTCAAAAGAGTCAGCTCTTCAAATCAGGTAGCTGAAATATTGGAGTTTCAGCTTCAACATCAGTCCTACCAATGAACACCCAGGGCTGATCTGCTTTAGGATGGACTGTTGGATCTCCTTGCAGTCCAAGGGACTCTCAAGAGTCTTCTCCAACACCACAGTTCAAAAGCATCAATTCTTTGGTGTATTTGTATATATGTGTATATATATATATGTGTGTGTGTGTGTGTGTGTGTGTATCTATATATATATATATATACACAGAAATATGTATAACTGAATCACTTGGCTATATAACAAAAATCACTCAGTCATGTCCACCTCTGTGACCCCACAGACTGTAGCCCATCAGGCTCCTCTGTCCCTGGGATTTTCCAGGCAAGAATACTAGCGTGGGTAGCCATTCCCTTCTCCAGAAGACCTTTCCCACACAGGGATCAAACCCAGCTCTCCTGCATTGCAGGCAGATTCTTTACCATCTGAGCCACCAGGGAAGCCCATAGCAAAAATTAACACATTGTAAATCAACTATACTTCAAAAAAAGAAACTTAAAAAAAAAAAACTTTAAAAGATTGCACAGTATATTCAAATATCAATTCTTAACGCAGAGTCAGTTAATATAAAATATGACTAAGGTTATTCCTCCTTTAGAATTAAATCTTGCAACTCAATATTTTGCCTCACAGAAAATTTTGAAAAACAAAAACTTATTTTAAATTCTATTTTATATCTATAATATTTAATCAAAGCTTTAATTTTGTCACTGATGCTGAAGCTGAAACTCCAGTACTTTGGCCACATCATGCGAAGAGTTGACTCATTGGAAAAGACCCTGATGCTGGGAGGGATTGGGGGCAGGAGGAGAAGTGGGCGACAGAGGAAGAGATGGCTGATGGTATCACCGACTCAATGGACATGAGTTTGAGTAAACTCCAGGAGTTGGTGATGGACAGGCAGGCCTGGCGTGCTGCGATTCATGGGGTCGCAAGGGTCGGACACGACTGAGCGACTGAACTGAACTGAATTTTGTCACTGTGTATGTGAAACTGGATGGCCATAACAACAGTAGCTATTTATTTGTTGGACACCGTTTTAATAGATCCTTTCTAATATTATTTGCCAGGCAGTTGCATGAAATAATCTTTACGTAAAACTCTTGAATCAGTGCTATTATTATTTCATTTTAAATTTTAGGAAACTAAATCACAGGAAGATTGAGGAATAAATTATTGAAGACTTATAGTGACTGAAGGCACAACTGAGATTTGAATGTAGGCAGGCTGGCTCCAGAGTTCATATATTTATTACAATTCTACACACAGTCTCTCTTTCAAGGGACTCTACTGACATCTTAAAGACCAAACTTCTGTGTCTGTCATCAAAGTGTTTAACTTTGCAAGGAAATGTGATCTACTATAATTGTATCCCTCTCTGTACAACTGTACACTACAAATACATTGTTGCTTTGGTCAAAAGATAAAGATTCAGTTGCTAGGAAAAACTTCCAGACTTGTTAAAAATGGTTCATTTTAATTGATGATATCTTTATTTCTTCTTTGCTATAGGCCATATGTTGCAACAGAAAGAATTTTTATTTGAGACAAAAAGATCTGGAATTGACTTTCCACTCATGCATCTACCATCTGTATGATATTAACCAAGCCACTGTGATGGACTTCTCTATGGTCAATTAGCAATGTCATAGACCTTCTTCATCACTGCCCTTTGCCAGATTCCTCTGAGCTCTGCCTGCCTGGCAAGATCTCTCATCTTCTTTGCTTGATCCATCACCAATTTTCTCCTCTGAACATGTGCATGTGTATAATCCTGAGTTATGGCCACTCCCACCAGACTGATGCCAATTAATCTTCAAGTGACCTTGCTGCAGGGATAGAAAATCTAGACCCTGATCACCAGTCTAGGTACCTTGACCATTATACTGCCAATTCTTTCTGCCAGACTTGAACATTATTCCTCTTCTAGATCCTCATTCTGACTCTTCTTCTTCCCTCATTTCCTCAGTGAATGGAGTACAGACAGACTCATGTTTCATCAGGGCTCTTGGCTCTTGGTCTTGGCATCTCCTATGCTGTTCTGTTACATCATGATCAGGCAATGGCTCAAAACCACACTTCAGAACCCTTATCTATTTTTGATAAGGAGATCTACAGATTCAATCCTTTTTCTTTGAAATTTTCAAATTTCTGTTCAAAGAAAATCACATACTTCTCATTGAACAAAATATAGATTTCAGGAATATATAAATGAGTTTGCTTTAATATCTACACTATTAATCTCTCTCACACAAATGTTCTGAATATTCTGTTTGTCCTCTTAGGTATATTTTCCACAATCCTCCACATTATGCTTTGCCCCAGAAGGCTGAATTCATCATCAGGCTACCTGGCTCTCTGGCTTTCAGTTTGGCTTGACCAATGGAAGGCTATACTGGCAGGAAACCACTGTGAGATGGTAGAGAGAGGTTGAGCTATTTGTGCCCCAATACCCACAACAGAGAGGGTAGACAGAGTCTGCATCCTCTAGTTGGGAAGCCCCTTTCTTACAACAGCACCTCTAAGTAGGTCATGTAAAAGTTTCTATATTCTTTCTCCTCCTCACTGTTACCAGTCCGTTCCCCTCTTCCTTAGTCCTACCTACACACACACATACACACATTAATAAATAGAATAATCATAAAATCCTTCTTAGTCCTTTTGTATGTCACCTCCTTTTAATAGAATCTTGACTGATAGAGTTTCCCCATACCAAGTTTAACAGAGTTGTGCCTCCTGCAAGTGCTCTGCTCCCTTTTGAGAGTTAATTGGTCCCTGAACATAAAAGGAAGAAGGAACTGGTGGAAATAGTTTACAACCCTTCCGTCAAGATTTTAAAATGCAATTTCTCAGTCATACTGTATAGATATATAAGGATATATAAAGCAGACAAATTTATAGAACATTTTATATACTTTAATAATGTTTAAGGTTTAATTCTATAAAGGAATATCTGAGGTGAAAAAAAGAAATTAGTGATATTTATCTTTTCTGATTCAGTTTCTTTCATACTCAGATTTTTAAAAATCTTTTTCAAGTCTGGAAAATTCCCTGCTTAAAAATCAGGTCTATAATTATGATCTTGGGAGTCTAATGATTTTAGTTTTCCCTTTCCCTCTATCCCCCTTTGAAGCTGCATCATTAAATGATCATTTGCACATCTTATTTTCTTATACAACTGATGTATAGTACATGGAAATTCTGAATAATCAGTCAAGCAGTCATGTTAGGTTTTCAGAGAAGACATTCTGGCCTTTGCTTGGGTAATTGCAAAAGAGGACAGTTTTTTTCCCCTGGATACTGCAGTGATCATCTAATGAATTGTCCCTACTATCCAGTCCCAAATTTCAGCTTCAGATATATTTCTGTTCCGCTTTATCATACAACTTATAAGATCAGTAGCATTTGCTTTAGCAATTATATATCAGCAAATGTTTTCAGCTTTCTTGAAAGGTATTCTGATAGACTTCTAAGCCATGATAATTCAAGATACTGCTGGGTGACTGTTGTAGCAGAGGCAGTGGCATTTCTCTACGACTGGCTTTCTCTTCTGAGTGCATCACTAGCCCACATTTTTCAGGTTCTTGTGCTCAGTTACAGTAATTTGACAGGATTCTAGCTCACTCTGAGAAAAAAAAAATGATGGGTGCCATTCTTGAACCTGCTCTAAGAAAAACTCAAACCATAAAATCACCAGATTTTTTCCTTCTTTTGGCTGAATAATATGGAGATAACAAACAAGAGTGACCATGAAAATCATGTGTCATAGAAAATAGGGACACATCCGTACAGGTTGCTGAACTGTGTGGAACAGCATCCCTGCCTGCCTGCCTGCCTTCCTTTTAGAATTTGCCTTTTATTGTAACTGAGCAAGAAATACACTTCTCTTTTGTTTGAGCCAATATACATTTTAGGTGTAATTTTTTTTTTACAAAGAATGACTTTCCCAACACTATGACAAAATTAATTCTTTCTCAGGATGATTGAAAATAGTTTTATTTGTCTAGTGAATTTTTTTGGGATTCTATATTTTCCTCTAAATGCTACCAATGTCTTTCCTTTTGCATGGAAGCTTTCAAAAAATGTTTCAAAAACACATTTAAAAACCACTTGAGAGCACAATAAGATTCATGCATTATAGTTGATTTTTAGCATGAACAAAAACAGATATGTTCTGTGATTCAGATCTTGTAAAGTAGACTGATATTAATCAGTCTAATAATGGCAGGAAAAAATATTTACAAATATAACTATTTTGAAGGAAAGAGTAATATGAAACACCTGGCTTGGTATGGTAGCAGGACAATTTTTGATAAAGTAAATGAAATCAGTACAAAGAGTAGGATTACACCAGGTAAACAAAAGCAGAGATTTCATCCCAAACAGTAGAAATAGTATGTGCACAGAATACGTGGATGGAGGAAGGAAACAGCACAATGTCTTGGTAAAAAGCTACTGTGCCTGGAGCACACAGCCAGCTATGGGGTTTGAGATAAGCCCAG